CAGCTTCTGGAAAAAGACCTCACTCCTTAACAAAAACTGCTGGGAAAACTGGAAAACAGCATGGCAGAAACTAGGTATAAACCAACATCTTACACCATATACCAAGATAAGGTCAAAATGGATACATGATTGAGACATAAAAGTGTCTCATAAGCAAATGAGGAGAAGCAAGGAATAGTTTAGCTATCAGATCTATGGAGAAAAGAAGAATTTTTGACCAAAAGAGATAGAGAGCGTTTCAAAATGCAAATTGGATAATTTTGATTATATTAAATTAAAAAGGTTTTGCACAAATGAAATTAATGTAACCAAGATTAGAAAGAAAGCAGAAAGCTGGGAAACAATTTTTGTAGCAATTGTCTCTGATAAAGGCCTTATTGCTCAAATATATAGAGAATTGAGTCAAATTTATAAGAATACAAGTCATTCCCCAATTGATAAATGGTAAAAGGATATGAACAGGCAGTTTTCAGATGAAGAAATTAAAGCTATCTATAGTCACATAAAAATACTCTAAATCATTATTGATTAGAGAAATGCAAATAAAAACTACTCTGAAGTACTGCCTCATACCTATCAGATTGGCTAATATGACAGAAAATGATAAATGTTGGAGGGGATGTGGGAAAATTGGAACATTGTTGGTGGAGTTGTGAACTGATCCAACCATTCTGAAGAACAATTTGAAAGTATGCCCAAAGGACTATAGAATTGTGCATACCCTTTGACCCAGCAACACCACTACTAAGTCTGTATCCTCAAGAAATTTTTTAAAAAAGGGAAAAGGACCCACATGTACAAAAATATTTGGAGCAGCTCTTTTTGTGGTGGCAAAGAATTGGATATTAAGGGGATATCCATCAGTTGGGGAATGGCTGAACAAGTTGTGGTATATTAATGTGATGGAATCCTGTTGTGCTATAACAAATGGGGAGCCGGTGGATTTCAGAATAACCTGGAAAGGCTTTCATGAACTGATGCAGAGTGAAGTAAGCAGAACCAGGAGGACGTTGTACACAGTAACAGCAACATTGTAACAATGGTTAACTGTGACTGACTCAGCTCTTCTCGGTGATACCGTGATGCAAGACAATCACAAAGGACTCATGATAAAAATGCTGTCCATCTCCAGAGAAAGAACTGATGGGATCCAAATGCAGGTTGAAGCAGACTACTTTTAATTTCATTAACTTTTTCTTGGGATTGTTTGGCTGTTTTTTTTTTTTTTTTTTTTGGTCTGTGCCTTCTTTCGCAACATGACTAACATAGAAACGTGTTTTGTATGAATGTACATGTATAACCTATATCAAATTGCTTACCATCTCGGGGGGAGGAAGGAGGGGGAGAGAATTTGGAATGCAAAACTGTAAAAAATGAATCTTAAAAATTGTCTTTACGTGTAATTGGGGAAAATACTAAAAAAGAAAATTTTTAAAAATTGTAAAGTACCTAGCACAAAGTAGATGCCACATGAATGCTAATTATTATTACTATTGTATTCGTAAAGTACTTAGCACAATGTCTGGTACACAGTAGAGGTTCTATAAATACTATTTATTATTGTTATTGTTATTATATACATAAAGCACTTAGCACAGTACTTGACACAAAGTAGGTGCTTAACTGAATTCCTTCCTTCCTTGCTTCCTAATGAAACTTCTCTGAACATAGAGCCAAGCCTGCTTCTTGGCAGCTTCCTCTGATTGCTCCTAGGTCTGGCCACGGGGCCAGACAGGAGTCACTGCCCTTTGCCACATGGCAACCTTTCACATCCTTGATAGAAGCAGTGTGAGGAAGGAGAAGGTGATGAATCTGAACTCAGAGCACCTAGGTTTGAATCCCAGCACTACCATTTACAACCTACCTGCCTGACCTTGGATAAGCCCCTTTCCCTGACTGGGCCTCAGTTTCCCTCATCTGTAAAATGCATTAGATGGTCTCTAGGAGCCCTATGTGTCCTCCCAACCAATAGCTGATCTCTTTGTCTCTTCTGCACACATGTGTATACGAACATGCTTGTTTCCTGGTGTGTAGCTCACCCTCCTTGGAGCTCATTGAAGGACCACGGTGACCGATGTTAAGACTTGGCCCAGACCATTGGGCCTCTATTGCCCCAGTGTCTTGCTGCCAGTTTCTTGCCTGTCTGGTCTTTCGACCTAACTATAAGTGACTTGAGGGCAGGGACCAAGTTTCATCTTGCCCTCCTTACAGCATTGAGCACAGGGGCTTGGGCACATGTGCACACACACATATATGTAGTAGGCGAACAGACAATATTTGGTGACTCATTGTTTGAAAGGGAGAGATGAGAGGGAACCCAAGACAGACAAACTTGGCTTTAGCCACTGGGGCAATCTTGCAAAGCATGAGCTTTGCCAGGTGGGATATGTCCTCAGTTTTTGGGTCCGCAGAATCAGGAAACTGCCTGTGGTCCAGCCCCAGTCCCAGAGGCAAATGTTAAGTCCACTTCATCTTATTTTTCTCTGTCTTCAGTGAGCCTGGCAGAGCCCTGCTTTGTATGCTGCTCTTGTCATAGCCCAGACTTCTCTTTGCTCCCAAGGGAATGAACCAACTTTACATCCTACTCTCTCCTCTGGGGGGTGGGGTGCCACCTGTAAAAGGGGTTCATCATCTCCTCCAGTTCCTGCTGGTTCCTGAATGTGGGAGAATTCACATTGGGTACAACTCCAAATCAGTGAGATGTTAAGCATCTATCAGGTGTGTGTGTGTGGGGGGGGGGGGGAGAGAGAGAGAGAGAGAGAGAGAGAGAGAGACAGAGAGAGAGAGAGACAGAGAGAGAGAGAGAGGTTTCCCAGAGCAGGTGATATCTGAGCTGACATGAGTAGGGAGTGAGTTCATCCAGGTCTGAAAACCAGTCTGCACAAACATATTATCCTTCCTTCCTTCCTTCCTTCCTTCCTTCCTTCCTTCCTTCCTTCCTTCCTTCCTTCCTTCCTTCCTTCCTTCTTTCCTTTCTTCCTTCCTTCCTTCTTTCCTTCCCTCTCCTTCCTTCCTTTTCTTTCTTCCTTCCCTCTCTCCTTCCTTCATCCATCCATTTGTAGATTTCCACTAGTTTTTCGAGTCTTCCTCTGGTACCTGAAAAAGAGAGACCAAGCTGAGGGCTGGCATTTTTCTGGCACTTCCTGTGCCCCAAAACTAGGAAGAGTTTGGCCTGATGGTCTGTGGGAATTCCAATGAGTCACCTTGGCCAACCTGACCACAACTTCCTTTGGGGAGGAGGCCCAGGGGCTCCTCATTCTCTGACTAGGGTGTGGTTGGTGCCCCAGAAAGGGGTCACTGGGCCTCTTCCTTAGGCCTCTTAGTTTAGTCACATAACTCCAGGCTCTGACATGCCCCTGTGTGTGGTCCCAAGTGGGCACTGATGTTGGAGGTGGGGGGTGGGGAGTGGTTTGCTGGTCCAGGGAGCTTCCTGTCACCTGCCCTTCTCCCAGGGAGCTCCAGGGAGGTGAGAATAGTTTTCATCTCTATGAACTTTTATGGTCTCCTCGGATCCCCCTACCAACCCAGTGAGATAGATGCTACTGAGAAAAGGATGCCCATTTTGCAGATGGGGAAAGAGCTTCAGAGGGGCTAGGTGACTTGCCCAGTCACACAGCCTTAGACACGGCTTCTGAGGTCCGGCCTAAGTGTTTCCCGTGGCGTTGTCTCTCCACTATCCTAGCCTGCAACCTCAGAAGCCACTATCGGTGCCTGTGTCCTCCGACAACCCTCCATCCGATGGGCGGGCGGCAGGAGGCTGCCAGCCGGAGAGGCATCGCCGCCCTAGAAGTCCTGGGCCCTATGAGCGATGGACTGTCAGGAGCCGCTGAAGCGTCCTTCCAGGGCTGGGGGGAGAGCGAGGGGGGAGGAGGAAGGGTGGGAAGGCTTCGCTTCGCCTTGAGGCTTCCTGGAGGAGGGCGGGGCGGAGGCGAAGCCGGGCTGCTGGCGGCTCGAGGGGCCCAGCTCCCCACAAAGCGCTCCGTGTCTCGCGCTTCCCACTTGCCCCCCTCAGCTAATGAAAGAGTCAGGACTTGTGGTCGGGGAGGAGAGGGCAGGGAAGGCGGTGGGCGGCCCGCAACCCGCCCGCCCTCCTAGGCTAAGGCTATTCTTGTCTCTGCTTTGGGCGTGTCCGGCTCGGGGCGAACAAACCGCGTGGGATTGGGCTCTGCCCACAGCTGGATGGGCCTTGCCTCCCACCCAACCTGGGCCAGGGGGGTCCGAGCCTAGGGTCGGGACCTCGGGTGGGACCGCTTCCAGGGGTCCCCGAGCCAAATCCTGCGGGGACCCCGGCTGTAGTCTCCCCCTGGTGTGTGTAAGAGAGGGAGAGAGAGGGAGAGAGAGAGACAGAGAGACAGAGAGACAGAGACAGAGACAGAGAGAGACAGAGATGGAGAGAGAGACA